ACTATAACTGAAATTATTCCAAACTTAAACTTAACCCCAACTCCCATTTTACAACAACCTCAAATATACATTTTTTCTCAAGAAATACAATTGATACATTACATAATCAAAACTCCTCATTATCAAAATTTTTTAACTCAAATATATACCAATATTTTAAACTTAAACACAACTAGATTTTAGTTTTATACCGATGCCTCTATCAAAAACCTTCAAACCCCAAATTTGCAATCTAGCATTGGCTGGATCTGTGAAAATAATCTATCTATTAAATTTAATACAGCGATTTACCCCTTTCCAGACTCATCTCACTCTGAACTAAGCATAGTTATCTTTCTTCTTCTAGTTTTACCAATTAATTCTACAATTACTATTCTTATTGACAACCTAACTGCAATTAACAATTTACTTAATCTCTCACCCCCGAAACTTATTCAAAATAAAAATTAGGATATAATCTCAATAATCAATTCTATCAAATTTACTAAAAATATTACTATTATTCCTGTTAAAGTTAAATCACACTCAAAAACTCTATTCATAACCAAGCTAATTTACTAGCCAAACAAGGTTTAGATAAACCTATTTTGAAATTTCTTATACATATTTTAATCTTCCCATCTACTTTCTCTGAAACAATTATATCATAACTTTCAAAACACGCTCCTTTATCAAAAATATTATTACTATTGAAGAACTTATATCCTGGTTCTCTCTCAAATTCTTTAACAATTATACCTCAAATATATACTAGAACTTAGCTTTCAAAATACTTAATTCTCTAGAACTTGACCTCTCCAAATACTCTTTCTATATCAAAATCTTAATAGATAATCTTTCAACAATGCAAAATCTTAATATCTGTTATCCAAATCTATATACAATAACAAATGCTACAAATGGTCTTCAACCAAAGACACTTTTTATATACTTTTATGCCTTAAAAATATGGATAATATCTAACAATCACTAATTAATATAACTAATAATACACTCTATCAACTTCAACTTCAAACCTCATCTACTACTCTTCTCAATTCTTTTTCACTTCTTATACAACATTCTTTTACTATTCAACCTGACTTCCTTCTTCCTACTATTCTTGGAATATATTCAATATATTATAATATCAAAACCCTACTTAATAAACAAACTGATTTGTTTCTTACTAATCTTTCTAACAATCTTCTAAACTGGTTTTACTAGAAAATATGGTTCTAATGGAATTCTCTACAACATTAATAGGAACTAGCTCACAATATTACACAAAAAGTTAAATGCACCAAAATGGCTTTACCACTAGCACATAACCAAGCAAATATAAATATATCTTACTCTTACCCAATCAATACATATAACACTATTGAAAAATGGTACTTATAAGAATTTTTCTTACTAACATGCTTTTTATAATGTCATGATTATCACTAAAGGGTTTTCTCCAACCTATCCTAGCTAGAATTATTTTACTTAGTAAAACTAATATAGTATTCAAATAGAAAATAAAGGGTGTAATGTCACATTGGGTGCTTTTGTAGCACAAATGTAGTTAGAAATCTTTAACCATAGGAATCTTTTCTAAAGCCATACCTTCTCTAACTTAGCTATTGCTGGGTTGGAGGGATTGGTTAGCCTGATCAAACGATTTATCTGACCCCTCACTCAAATTTAGTCTAAAAACGAGAAGACTATTAGTCTTTAGATTAATTTAGGTTTTTTGTAATAAAGTTTCTACTATGACATTATATTAATAAAAAAAAAAAAAAAAAAAAACAATTGAAATTCTTCTAAATTCTGTTAATATATTATTTTCATTAGTTACTATAGTAAAATTATTTATTGCAGATATAAATTTATCATCAATATTATTTTCATTTGTATTTATATTTTCTAATACATTATCTTCATCTAATTCAATAATATCATTATTATTAAGGTTGGAACCATTTTCAATATCGAGTTTATCACATAAATTTGTGATATAGTCTAGTTTATCACATAAAATTTGTGATATTTTCGAATTTATCATATATTTACCCAATCATATTTTGGTATATTTAAATTAAGTGATAAACTCGAATTATTGAAACCGGTTCCAACCTCTAAATCTGTTATGAGACCTTTGCAGCAGAAAGGGCCCAAACTGCTCCAGAAATTAAAGAGGGAGTTTTGCAATATTCGGATAATTTCGGCACGAGAATACCTGATTTAATTGATGGGTCAGACATTTATTTAACTAAGGAACGACTTAGGTAGCGCGCCCACAAAATTGCCCGTAACTTTGACTGAGAATAAAGCGTTGTACCATTAGGACGCAGAAGGTGGTTTCTTAATTAAAATTTTGAGTTATTTCTGTTTTTTGAAAAAAAAAAAAAAAATACGTTACACCTGATATTGAAATTTTATTGGTCAAAGATCACGGGGGACCAATTTTTGTGGTGCATTAGGGAACATGGCAATTATTTATTAAAAAATTATTCAAAATCTTTTGCCCATATATCATTGATTTCTACATAATTATTTAGTATGTAGGTTATCAAGTTGTTTTAGACAATGGTTATTTTTATAGTATTTGAAATAATCTATTAATTTCTCATTTTGTATTAATTTAATCGACAGTGTCTAAGTTATTCCTCTTAATAAATGTGACGGATTAAGTGAAATTTCGTATAGTAAGTAGCGATGTAAGCCAAACCCGATAGTTTGGGATTTAGTAGATTCCCAAAGGTTTTTACTAGTTCAACAATTGTGTCGTGACTGTGTTGTAACCAAAATTTATGTATCGCTGGCTAGAGCATGAATCATAAGGCAAATAAATTGTTATTGTTTAACGATGCAGGAGAATTATTTCCACAATTGTGAAAATAATTCTCCTGCGCCATGTTTATGTCGTAGAGATGATTGGTCCTTGAAGGCCCACCGGTTTGGGTCTTGTATTGAGTGTGGAATTACAACAATAGTCGACCCAAACTCAAATTGGGTAGAACGGTAATTGTCCCCATTCGGTGTTTACATCGTTAATAGTAAGCCGCCGAAAAAAATTATAAGGTGCTTTTTTTAAGGTTAGGAGTCAGCTTAGGGGCCACGATAATTAATTTATTAATTTACGTTATGCAGGGGGGTTTCAGATTTCAGTTAAAGGACGTATTTATTCAAAAGCGACGTACAAATTCTATTTTTTTAAAGTATGCACTTATTTACATAATCGCTTACAGATGAACATTTATCAAAAAAAGCTAATTTTATCACCAGCTACGCCCATTTAATTTTTTGAGTCGGAATTCTAAAAAAGAAATAGGATCTTTTAAACTCCAATTGTTTTGAAAAAAAGTTAATTCTGAAACCCACACTCCTCTTATTCAATTGTTTTACCGGTAACTGGTAAGTTAACCGACTTGAAACAATATTTATTTATTGATTTTTTATCGGTGTTGATTTAGTCAATCGATTGATTATTAAACGAAACCCACCTATCACGCTAGTACATACGTTAACGATAATAAAACATATCAAACAAGTACCTACGGACACGTAAATAGTTGTGGCTTATTTAAATGTATGCATTAAATGTAGAGCCTAACCCAGCCATGATCAACATAATATAACGATTACTGTAATTTTTACTTTATTATATTAACAAAAAAAAAAAAAAAACAGAATACAAAAACAAGAATTTCGAGCAAAGCATACATTTGGGATCTTTGCTAGGAAAATCACCCTTCGGGATTTTCCGATCGGGCTAATTCGGAAAAGCTGCTTAAACCAGAATGCCACATACAGTGATGTTCAATTTGCCTTCCAGTGGGAAATCTCTGGCCTTCCGGTGGGATTTTGCAATAGTAAGTGTTCCAGTGACACTATTAAATTTATTCCAATGGGCTTCCAGTGGGCTTCCAATGGGCTTCCGGCAACATCACTGGCCACATACGTACGTAAATCATCCTTTTACTTTACTGATTCGACAGTTCATTTAACGTCGAATCAATAAAGCAAAAGGTGATTTACATATGAATAAGAACCGACATTCTGGTCTAAGCTTTTCCGAATTAGCCCGATCGGAAAATCCCGAAGGGTGACTTTCCTAGCAAAGATCCCAATTATTGCTTTGATAAGTATCACTATTATTATATAAATTAATAAATAAATAAAATAAAATAAAGAATTTACATAATGAATTCATGCATAACCCAACTTTAACCATGGGTCAAAATATTCTTTATTGCTTTAATCCACGAATTCACTTCCTGCTCATTTAAAAAAAAAAGGAGTTGGTAACATGACAAAAAATTTCATGTTACGTACATTTTTTCTTTATCAGTCATTCAAATAATTTCTTGATCCGATCCGGTTTCTTTATCTGCAAAAATGACACGTAATTCACGTTCTATAATTATCGTCTAGCTCTACAAAGAGGTTCTACAGCCATCGAACACAAATACGCTAAAAAAAAAAAAGAATTCGTATATATTTTTAGATATATATTAGTGACAACAGCAGCCCACGTGTTCAAATTCGTTGCTGTACACATAAGATTATACCCTAAAAATTATAAATAGTTTCGTTAGATTTGGTTTTCTCAAAGAGTCAGAAGTTTCGTCAGTTGCGAATTCGGAAGTTTCGAATTTCAGAATTTCCGGTAAAACCAAAACCCCGAAGGTGAAACTTTTGAAACAAATTGAATTGCTTATCA